AAGGTTTGAATGACTTGTATCAGGCTGATCTAGTTGAAATGATACCCTACGCAAAAATTAATAAAGGATACCGCTACATATTGGTTGTAATCAATGTTTTTAGTAAATTGGTATGGTTAAGACCGGTGAAACGTAAAAACGCAAAAGATGTCACAGAAGCAATGAGAGATATCCTTGATAATGTTGAAATTAAACCTAAAAATATTCAAACAGATATGGGGAAAGAATTCTACAACAAAGATTTCAGATCGTTGATGGAATCTCTCAACATAAATCACTATAGCACATTTTCAAATTTGAAAGCTAGTGTGGTTGAGCGGGTGAATCGCACTTTGAAGAATTCAATGTGGAAGAAATTCAGTTTGCAGGGTACTTATAAGTGGTTGAATATCCTGAAGGAAATAGAGGATGTATATAATAACACAAAACACAGCAGTATTGGAATGAAACCTAAAGATGTGAATTCTGGGAATGAAAATACATTACTGAAAACTGTATATAGTCATTTGAAAACAATTGATCCTAGAAAGAATAAATTCAAAGTAGGTGACTTTGTGAGGATAAGCAAGTTCAGAGAAGCATTTTCAAAATCGTATCAGCCTTCTTGGTCAAATGAAGTCTTCAGAATTCGACAAGTTAAATTGTCAAACCCAACTACTTACCTGCTAGAAGATCAGAATCAAGAAGAAATTCGGGGAGGTTTCTACAGCGAAGAGCTTCAGAAAGTGAAATATCCCAACATCTACTTGGTTGAAAAAGTTTTACAGCGACGTGGAAACAAAATTCGTGTCAAGTGGCTAGGCTTAGATAATTCTCATAATTCATGGATTGATAAAAAGGAACTTCTGTGAAATACATTTATATTTTTTTGAATAAAACAATTATTCAGATGATTTCATATTTTTTTATTACGTAATTCCTAGTGGGTACAATTATTCGTATGCTAATTTCTATTGTACATTATTCAGGTCTTCAGAAAAAACGTCAGGGTATATGTGGATGAATTCCAATACTAAACTGATATTTTCACTACTTGGGTTCTCCTGTGGCCTGACAAGATTAAGTGCATTGTTCACTACATCTCCATCTTGATTTTGAAGAGCTCTCTGCAGAACTGTGAGGTAATTCGTAAACTGCATTCTCCCCATCATTTCCATTTGATATTTGATGAGCGGCAATAGAGTCCACAACTTGCAAAGGGATTCATAACCCAAGAAAACATAATAGTTATTTTTCTGAATCTTAACAACACTCGTTTCCGAAATTTTCATAAAGTATATCTGGAAGGATTCACCATCTAACGAGGTCGGATGGTCACTAGGATAGAAATAATTTGTAATGATTTCTTGATATTTAAGAAAATCCATCCACTCACGATCATTGAAAGTGATTACATCATTCTTGAGTCCTGATATCTGGATGCAGGGCCTGAAGCCAAATTCATAGGATAATCCTATGGAAACGTACTTGCTTCTTGATTTATTCAAAGGCAATCTCTTCTCTCCCAACAATATTGATTTATGTTTATTCTCATGATGTTCTTTCAGATTATATCTAACTCCCGAGTCACCGGTAGGAACACTTGATGTATAGTAGCTCTGCCCACTCGAATTCACAGTTGATTTCGACAAGTCCATTTCAGAATAATATGTGTTTTACAACTAGAATTCGAAAACTGAGTGAAGGATCTCATTGTGATAAGTTATATACCTTTGAATTTGTGAAGTGGGGGTATGATTAACGAATCATTACATTAATTAATATGAATCGGACGATATTCCCAAATACTCCTTAATTAGAGATAATTGAATTAGTCTATGACTCATAAGGTACACCTGTTTTCTTTAATTGTAGATGATTTAATTACATTGGTGACTCATTGTAAACATGTGTTTTCTTGATCGAACATGATTGAATTAGTCTGATGACTCATATAGTGCGCCTGCTTTTTCTTGATCGAACATGATTGAATTAGTCTGATGACTCATACATACCACATGTTTTCTTCTTAATTGGAGATGATTTAATTTTCTGAATCGACTATGACATTAATATTGAAAGTAAGCACAGTACATTCCAATAAACATGTATTCACATACTTTCTTAATCTTCATGACCCTCCATTCTCCAACATACAGTAGATATGATTTTCTGTTTGGTGTAAATATTATGAATACGGTCCTGCCCTACTGGAAAAATCGATATGGGATAATAGGGGCCTCCTTTTCGTGCAAAATTGTACAACTCATGCCCTCTGTTATAGAAATGCTCCAACAGAAAGAGAAAACCATTATTTTGTTCATGGTTTTACAGAGAAAATTAAATATTCACCCTCGTTTGGTCGGTGCGTTAGACCAGATATCACGCATAAGTATTTCAGTAATCTTTTTCGGTCGTCTGTGGTTAAATATGTGTACAATTATTCTCGGTTTTCTTAAGTTTATCGGGAGTGATACAGGTACGAATTGATAGAAATGTAAGTTAGTCAACTCGATCATTAGTGGGAGTGTGTGGTGTTTCAGTGGATTATTCCAAGTGTATCGGGAGTGACACCGGATTTACAAGACGCTAACTGATAGAAATGTGAGTTAGTCAACTCGATCGGTAGTGTGTGGTGTGTGGTGTTTCGGTGGATTATTCCAAGTGTATCGGGAGTGACACCGGATTTATGGGACGCTAACTGATAGAAATGTGAGTTAGTCAACTCGATCGGTAGTGGTGTGGTGTGTGGTGTTTCGGTGGATTATTCCATGTGTATAGGGAAGTGACACCGGATTTATGGGACACTAACTGATAGAAATGTGAGTTAGTCAACTCGATCGGTAGTGGTGTGGTGTGTGGTGTTTCGGTGGATTATTTCAAGTGTATAGGGAAGTGATACAGGACACAAACTAATAGGAGTGTGAGTAACTTATCTTTCTCTCTTTTTTTAATCAGACATTATTGCCTCCCAAATTTTCTTCATTTTTCACTAGATAAGCTATTCTGTGCAAGTTTCAAATACAGAAATATTCTTTCTTCCAAAATGATCAATTCCTTCAATTGAAATATAGTAATGAAATAATCTGATATATCACTCAGTCGAATATTCCAAATTCTCTTCTTAATTTTTTGGAGTAAGGGAAAACATCCCTACAACATACTTTTATTTCACATCAAAGAAATGTACAACTGCGAAGTTATTTCGTGCAAGTGTCAAAATGAATCCGAAGTGTTGACCTGTGAATTTCGAAACATAAAATAGAATCAGAATACACATCATTGTCTGCTATTCATTTGTTCAGGGATAATCAGGATTATTCCCCCAATGGTAAGAAAATCATTGGGATCAATTTAACCTATTAAATAGCCGGTATCCATATTGCGTTCAATTTATATCATCAATCGACCCCCTCATACATGTGGGCAAATAATTCGCTCAATTCCCCCATTCGCTATAATAAAGTGAATAAATTATTACACATTTAGATCTATTGAAAGAAACCGTCTGTCTTCCAAAACCCAACTAGCCATGACAACAGATTATTTTCAGGTCACGCTATATCCTCGTAATGAGAACCACCATCGTTTGGCATACTAAATAATTTGCAAATTAAGATTCTAAATTGGAATTATTCACCCTCTTGGACCATCTGTCGAAAATAATTACTCCAATGAATACTCTGATGACTTGTCTCATGAAATCAATTCCCCGTGGCTTTGTTGTGAAAATAAATATTTCTGCTTTCTCATAAGAAATTTTATGAATGGATAACATCAATATCAATCGATAGACTTACCCGCATCAGTACTCCTTATGCAATTGAAGATTTTATTCTTGGAGCGTACAGAAGGAATCCCTATAATGTTCGAAAAACATGCGAAGAAAGTATTTGGAATTTTTCAACTCTGAATAAGCTTTGCCTATAGACGAGCAAGTTTTGGTATAGTGTTGTTTGATGGATAACGAAAGAATATGCTGTCAGTCCTATATTGCTAGTGATGAATTGAATTTCTCGTGGAAGTATCTATAGAAAAGTGATTAGAGTGAAATATGAATCAGATTGACGACTCGTGCTCACATTTTTTCAAGTAGCTATGCAATTGAAGATTTATTTCTTGGGGTGCTCGAAAGGGAGTCCCTATATTGTTCGAAAAAAACATCATGCCTAAGGAAAAGGTATTGAAATTTGATTACTTCTTGGGGATTATAAGTTTTTATTGGCTTCCTTTGGAATGAGTTTCACCGAGTTTTGATATTGCGTTGTTCCATGAAGAACGAATGGGTTTTTTTGGTATTGCTATAGTGATGAAATGAAATTTCTAATGGAAGTATCTATCTCAGCGCACGTGTTCTCAAGTACTTAATGGTTAATGGATTAGATCATGCTTTCCTTCATGTGGTGATTGATTAATTAGGGGGAATTAAATGGAGTGCTCTGATTGGCTGTCTGATGCCGTGATGCCTGGTCCAGCTTTCCTAATATATATCTACTGGCCCTTATACCCTTTTTGCACTAGACACGCCAATTATTTTGATAGGAAGGTGGAGGGGAGATGGAATTGATGTTATAAAATCAGCAAACTAATCATGTTCAAAAATGCATCCAAATCTTGATTTTCTGAGCACTAACTTGAAATTTCGAATTTTTTCATAAGATGTTGGAAGGGGGATGAAATGGATACTACAAAATCTGACAATTATCTGATTGTTTTCATTGAAGTATTTCACATCTAATTCAAGGAAAAAATAGAAAAAAAAAATCAATCAAAAATTCAATATCTGAGGACTTCCTGAGCTTTGAATTTGCAAAATCAGACAATTTTCTGATTGTGTTTATGAAAGGTTTGAGCATCTTTTTCATGAAAAAAAAAACTATGAAACATCTGATGTAGAATTTCGATTTTTTGAGAGGTTGAAAGATAGGTGAAATTGATGCTACAAAATCGGACAATTTCATGGTATATGGAAGTATTCCATTTATTTCAAGAGAAATATAATCCGAAAATTGATTTTCTGAGCTTTAATATGACATTTTTATTTTTTTATCCAAAAAAAGTATCCAACATCTATTACAAGAATGAATTTTTCAAGAATTCCTCTTCTGAACCATTTATTCTGGGAATTTGATTTTTTCATTAGGAGGGTGGAAACCAAGTGAAATCGAGTGAAAAGGATGCTACAAAATCAGACATCTACCTGTCCGTGTTCAGTGTATTGTTTTCCACTTCTAATTCCATATGAGTGAATTTTATTGACATAGTTTCTCTGTGGCTTGCGTTCGGAGATCTCATTAGTTGCTGGACTCGTTGCTGGATGGTATTGTGTTATGGTATATTTGGGGTATATTTTACCATTAATTCGACTAAGAAATTTGTCACCCTGCATATAATGGAATAACTTTCATTCATCCATGGAATATGTTGTAACTGATAATGCCCTACAGCAGAATAATTTTCAGTGGTACTTCAGTCATTTAATCATTCTGATTGGTTTAAAATCATAGGAATAAAATAATCACAGATATTCGGCAAGAAACAGTGATAATATTTGAATGAGCTTTCTTCAGGATTGAGGAAACTCAAGATTCCTATAGATATATCAGTGTCAAGCTCTACAAGGCCTTACATCACAGCTATAAAGGTCTAAACTATAGTATGTTTAATCAAGAGATCCCTGAAGTATTGATGGTGCATTGATATTATACAGTCAAGTTCCTCCTGCATATGCCCTTCTGTACATGTGAGTTGGATTTTAAATTTCAATATTTTATTTCTTTTTGTATCCATGTAATTTTGATCAAATGTATTATGCACTGATTCAATTTGTAAGGGTTGCAAGATTCTTGCAATTTTTTATGAATGAATTTTTATCTATCTATCCATATATCTATCTATATAGGGGGCGTCATGGCAGAGTTTGTCTATGCTCTGAAATTCGCTAGATAGCCCTTCATGATGGGAAGATACAGTTGGTTTGAATTGGGCTTAGCTTATTATTCTCCTCAAAAATAGGTGATTTATGGTTGTAATCCTGGCAGCACCAGGATGACCTAAAAGTGGTTCAAATTCCACTATAAGCTGTAGGTCCTGCTGTTCCTAACCCGCACAAGTTTTGACTTCTGGGGAGTTGGTTCCCAACTTCAAACTAGTAATATACAAAGTTTACAAAATCTATACCTATATTTCTCTATCTATCTCTGTTCTCAGGCAACTCAGGAAATTATCTGCTTTTTTCTCTCAAAATTTTAGCTGATATTTTGAATCATTTATTACACTGTGTACACTGCTTGATTCTGAGTGATTTCCGGAATGTGCAAATTTTGAAGATGAGTTACTCTTTGATGACTCAGAAAAACTGCAGATCTATATTTGGAGGTCAGTTTTCAGATTGCCAGTGGTCAGGAATCTGTATCCATCTGAGGTAGTGCTTATGCTACATGAACATATATGTATTGAAGTTTCAATGCTAACACTTCTTTTCTGGGGTTTCCTGAATCTTCTAATCAAAATATTATGTCTGACTTGGTGTTGGGTCAGGTTCATAGTAGTAATTCTTGACTGAAGTGTATTCACTTTCACCTTCAGTCAAACTTTGTTGGCAATTCATTAGGATTTCTAACAATTTTTCTGAAGGTGAATCAAATCAATTCATAGTCAGTCTAGGACTGAGTTGATCACTGACTATTGATTTGGTTTCTTCAGTAGATCTAACAAAGCCAAACTTCTTTTTAACCTTGCTGGTTGATTCAGGTTCATAGTAGTAGTTCATGACTGGAGTAAATTCACCTTCACCTTCAGTCAAACTTTGTTGACAATTCATCAGGATTTCTAACAATTTTTCTGAAGGTGACTCAATTTGATTTGTAGTCAGTTGTTCTCTAGGACTGAATGGATCACTAACTATCGAACTAGTTTCTTCAGTAGAAGATGTAACAAAGCCAATAAACTCCTTTTTAACCTTGTCTCCCAAATTCTCAAGTGAATGAGATCTTCTTTTTCGTGAAGATGATGAAAGTTGAGATTTTGAAGAGCACTCTGTTGGTTTGGGACTGTCTACAAATTTATGAGGAAATACATTCTCTCTCATATAAACTCTGGAACCAATGAGTTTATATTCCATCCAGTTCAACATGTCAAATTCAAGCTGAAAACAAATATCTTCATAATTTCCCAATCAGGCACTATTTCTCAAACCAAATGAATGTTCTTAATCAACAAAGTATCACTGATTTACATGAAATACTACTTACATCAAAATGATCTTCACAGCAATACAATCTTTTTGTTTTTGTATATGGTCTACTGACAGCAACACACCATTTCATCCTAATGTTTTCTTTGAGAGGCACCAGAATAAAAAGTTTATCCTTATTTTTCTCACTAGTGTTGGGGCATGATGGAACGAAACAATATTTAACAGCCATTGCCTTCAGGAAACAACAAATATCCACTGGTGAACAGAAGTAAAATAATCGCAGAATTCACAAATAATCAAATAGGTAAACAGCACTAACAGCAGTCAAATTCGTAGCTATGTGAACTTGGCTGCCAGGCGGCAGCCAGCCTCTAAATTTTCTTGCAGCAGGCAGCTACGATTTCCGATTATACCCGAGAGTCCAGTGGCGTCCGATCTCAATTTAAAAAGTACCCTGGCTGATGGCAGCAAGATGTTGAATCTTGATGCATAATTGAAATGGCCGTGTCTATTCATCGGGGTGCCCCGCCTGTATAGGCAATTTTGCTATCCATCGGAGCGTGATGCGCGCATGCTCGTATTCCGCGCCGACGAATAGTATATTTGTCTAAACATCGGGGCGCTCCGAAAAATAGTCACATATTCTATTCATCGGGGCGCACCATCGTTTAGGCACAGTTCACAGTTGCTATTCATCGGTGCGTAATTCATGATGGTTATATGATGGAATATGGGCATGACTACTTTTTTATCTTTCTTTTATTTCATCCCGAGTTTGTTCTAGACCAGGAAAGAGTTCCTCTTATGAAAAATGAAAACGGTATTGAAGATTGAGTGAAATAAAACACTCAAAAGAACTATTATAAGTATTTATTTGGTTAAAAATAACTGAAATAAAACATATGAAATATAATAACATAACATCTTAAAACTAGTTACATTTAAATTATTGTTCATAGTGGATGAGCTGATTTCTTCTTGGGTCGTTTTTTCACACCGATCACACAAGTTGAGCGAATACCTCTTGGTCTGCCACATTGTTTCATTTTGCGGTTTCGGTAGTGTATTTGGCTAGTGGGCAAGTTTGATTTATGTCTTCAACATTTAGCATTCCATTATGGTCTTTCTCTCCATCGATAATTTTACGTCTTGTATCCTCATCAGTGTATTTGGCTAGTGGGCAAGTTTGATTTATGTCTTCAACATTTAGCATTCCATTATTGTCTTTCTCTCCATCGATAATTTTACGTCTTGTATCCTCATTCATAGTTTCAACTTCTTGAGTGTTTTTTGTGAGACGAAAGTTCATATTTTGATCGATATTCAGGCCTCCAATAACTTCGTATTCCACATTATTCTAATTCATACTTTGAGCCTGGTCAGTATTTTCTTTAATTATAATATTCGCTTGTTCTCCAACACTTCCACCAGCTACAACCTCAACTTCCTCACCGTCTTTATTTACGGCCTTATTTCCATCTACTATTCGCAGGGGTATAACGATCGATTTGTTATTTGCTTCATCGACTAGTTCAACGATGAGAAAATCTTTTCTATCTTTTATTAAATTTGTAAATTGCTTAAGTCTTTCAAACTGCCGTTTGAAATTATCTGTTCCGTATTCAGAGATACCACTGGCAAGTTCCTGACACACTAACATTCTTTTTTTATATTTTTCATTTGTAGAGAGGATATTTTTCGGTGTGTTGTCCACAGTACTTTGGATGGGGATAGAAGCCTCAGTGAAAGAATTTCCTGTAGTATTTGGCGTTGGTGCCATTGATTCTCTATGGTGTTGGAAGTAAATCTTTCGTTTGAATTTATCATCCACTAGTGCTTCATCATATAGATTCCCATCATTCAGAGCCTTTTTGTAGAAAACATGAGAACATGGTAGCCTCATATTTATTCTAAAATCACAACTACAAGATGTTGAAGTCGTTTCATATTCTGGTTTTATATTAGCTATATTTTTGGAATAAGTGATATGTTTTACCACAAAGTCAAATGCATAAGGTGTTAATAAACAGATATATTTACTTTCGGGAGAATTTTCTTCATAATGATGAACTACTTTTTTCGTTGCCATCTGAATTGCTTTCACCTTTAATTCTTCTCTTACTGTTTCTAACACAATCAATAATTGTTCGTAGAATGTTCTTACATCACTCATTTTATCCACAACTTGTTTGATTTTGTTGTTAAGTGACTCTAAGTGATTTGTTGTAGTTACATTATAAGTTACATACTGCTTTTTAAAACCCTCCACTCATTGCTCTTTAATGTCATGCCAGTTTTATTGTAGTATTTTGTGACTTTTTCATATTTTAAGTCAAGAAGTTCTGTATAATTTTTGTCGTACTCAGATTCATTTCTAGATTACGCTAGTTTTTGCAGAATTGTTGAACAAGTACCCCTTTGCGTTGAATTTATCTGCATTTTTTCTGTCGTTATATTAATTCTAAATGCTTTCAGGGTGTGAAATAGACATAGTATCAACTGCGCACTTGGAAATTCGTGTTCAAACACTTATTTCCTCTCCTTATTTTATTGTATTGCTTGAATATCTTGGTCATGTGACGGATATTATTTTCACTTTCATGTTCCAACAAGAAACTTGCTACTATTTCTCCGTGGCCATTGCCATTGACTATTAGAAATATGTTAAGAGAAATTCTGAGGTTAATCAATTTATAGGTAGCATCACAAAGTAATACTTCTGGATAATTCTCATAGGATCTTTGCATACACTTATCTTGAAAAAATATACCGTCGAGGTTGTTTTCTTAATTTGTTACAATTTCAACTATAGAATCAGAGTCTTTTTTCAGAAATTCTACAGCATGTATAAAAGCGTTACTGTCTATATTTTTCACTGCTTTCAAGTTAGATTTAGATAAGTCCTTCAAAGTTACTATTTTTCCTGTAGTTGATTTTAAATAGTTTTTCAACATTTTTTTGTCACATTTCAACTTGATTAGTTTCAAAGTTTCCTTTTTCTCACATCCTTGGAGTCTTCTTTGTTTGGGAAGAGGAATGAATGAGTCTCAAGGAATTCCTAGGAATTCTCAAAGACTACCCGGAATTCCTGGGACTACCTAAAGACTACCTGGAATTCCTGGGACTACCCAAGGAACTCCTAGGAATTCCCAAAGACTACCTGGAATTCCTGGGACTACCTGAGGAATTCCCAGAGACTACCCGGACTTCCCAAGGAATTCCGGGATTTCCTAAAGAATTATCATACATCCCGAGGAGTTTTCAAATTTTTGCGTAAAAATCGGTAGATTACGAATGAGTTTTAAAGCTAGTCACTTGCTGCAGGCTGAACTAAATTATGAGTTGAGAATTCGAGGTGTAATTTCTGAATGGAATCAAGATGAAAAACGTAAAATTCTTGGAAGACTCCTGTTTAAAGAAAAACAAAGTGGTACAAATGTAATGACTTTAGTTGATGAAGCTTATAACTTTGATGCAGAGCGAGTAGAAATTCAGTCCACTTTAGATTCTATAAAATCACTTATCGAAGGTTTTGAAGGTCCTTCATCAGATTCTGTTTACAAAAAAGCAACCTCTAGACAGAATTAACCCAGAAAACATTGAACTAGCGGGAGAAGTGACGATGCCGGGGGTATTGATAATGGGCCGATGATTTTCCTATTCCAAGTAACCGTCAGTTAAAAATACGATGATGGCCTTGTGATGGTAAGATGTCTGGAACTAATTGAATACTAACGAGATCTGGCCCTTTGCTGACCAATTTCATGTTCGCTACTCGTCCCCCTGATGGATGTTCTGGGAACGTCTACATCAACAATCAGCTGATCAATATTGTATGTGACTAAGAAGGCTGACTCTCGTGAGTCGTGATCGCGTACTAGTTTGTTTATGTCGAATTAATGTGGTCCACTCTTTACCTGGTGGTTATTTATGATGGCAGGAGTATTCTCAATTGATGATAATAAAAGAAGACGGATTCTTCAATCATGATAATATTGAGTGAGTATCATACCTACATAGTGTTCCGAATTTCATTATTGAATGCATGTGTTTGGTATCTCGTAACCTCATATACCTAATGATCATAATAATTGGAGTTGGCTATACTTCTCCAAATGCAACTATCATTTTCAACTCGTTTGTTGCTATCAAAAGTAATATTAGGTTATGTGAACCTGTCGCTATATTGAAGAACTAAATAACAATAATGTTTCAGCTACAGAAACACCTGTGCCAAGAAAATAATGAGAATTGAATAGCTTCGTGTTATCACGTCGTCAGACTATATTATCCAGTTATGAACTCGTGCAACTCATAGGCCACTAATATATAACTAATGATGCAGAAGAACCTCACAACGAAAAATCATCTTTGAAGGAATGCTACCCAATAAGATGTAGCTACCACATACCAACCAGTTAGCAGTCACTCCGAGAAGTTTCATCGTTGAAGAACAGAGAGGTTAAGGAGATATCATTATGTCATTCAAAAAATTGTTTTCTTTTAATCTGGTATGGGTCTGATTTATGATGAGAGGGTTATATTGTGGAATAAAGAGGTACTACAACTTTCAGATGCAATGGACCCCTAGAACCCCTACCCCTCCCCTACCTCGATAGTATGTAACCAATGTCGTAAATTGGCCATTACAGTCCCATCATTTATGTATAATATGCTGGGCTTGCTATGGGAAACTCAATGTGTCGATTATGTTGTACTGGACTTTTGACGGAAAACTAAATATGATTTTTTTTATCGCTTGGCCGCAGTGTACTGATTTATAGAGTCCCGCATAATGGACCATTTACTGGGCCGCTGATGTCAGGTATGGAAAAAATATATCAGGCCATTTATGCCCCATATCGAAATGTTTGCTAGGAAGTTAAAGCAGGGATATTCAGGATGATGATGTCAATGTCACTATTTTTTCAGCACAAGCTAGTGCTTCAACTACTGCTAACACTTTTAGTAATACAATTGTGAATTCTGATAAGTCAGTTCCTGTCTATAAATTCAATATTCAATTTGATGGTGATCCAAAAGATCTCCTTTCATTCATTGAACGCATAGAAGTAGCTCTTTGAATCTGCTAGTGACTTATTCAGTGGTAAGGCTACATTTTGGTTCAGACAAATCAAAGCACAAGTTAATAGTTGGGAAACTTTGGTCTTAAAATTAAAAAAAACAAATTTTATGTCAAACTTTGACGATGAAGTGTGGAACCAAATAAAATCACAAAAACAAGGCAGAAATGAACCTGTAGTAATTCTCATAGCCCGTATGGAAACTTTATTCAGTAGACTCCGTCGTGGAGCCGCAGAGCTCACTAAAGTTAAATATATTAAAATGGGACTACAGGGTGAATACCCAAAAAGACTTGCACTTAGTGATATTGATAGTGTTTCTACCTTGAGTACACTTTGCAAAAAGCTTGAAGAAGCTGATATTCTTAGCTTGGCATCTGTTTCACAGTTACAGTATCAAACATCTTTTCAATGTATTGATTCTGACTTGACACATTTTTCAGATACACTTTCAAGTTCTCAAACTTCTTTTGACAATGAAAATAATGTTTTCCATAAAAATGTCGCTCCTCTTTTTGTACAGAAGTCACGTTAATAGACCATATATTTCTGTGAAAATTTTTGATCAGAAAAAAGTTTGTCTTTTGGACAGTGGTGCCAATGTTTCGGTTTGTGGTCAAAAATCAGTAGATTTACTGAAAAAACTTAATCTGAAATGGAATAAATTATTTTTGGAACAAGAGTTGATGGATCTGAACGGGAAGTCAAGGGTGTTGTTGATCTACCAGTTGGTCTAGATAACATTGTTCAGGTTGTTCCTACTATAGTAGTGCCTCCACTGTCCCACTCAATTATTTTTTGAAGCGATTTTTGCAATCAGTTCAAGATCAAGATCTACTTCAAAAACGGATTTGGAATGTGCATAGTGCAGTAACTCATAATTCTATCCACGTTGTCTCCAGTCATTTTAATGAGATTGAAAATTCAGATTCAAGTAATTTGTCAGATTTATCTCCTTCAGAGAGTGTTCAAGCAGAACAGATTATAGATTATTTCAAAGAAATTAGCAGTGAGAGTCGAATTGGTCTTACAGATGAAATTAAGATGACAATTGACACTGGTGATTCAAAGTCATTTCGAGTTAAGCTAATGTCACCATTTATGTCGAAAATTTTGAATAGAGAACTTGATGACATGCTGAAGTTAAAGGTGGTTGAACCATCTCAGAGTCCCTATAATAGTCCAGTCCTTTTAGTAAAAAAGTCATCCGGTGAGTACAGATTTTGTTTTGACGGGAGAAAACTCACTCGCATAGACAGAATTTCGAATTTGCTCAGAGATTTTTTTTATCGCTTGGAGCGCACGAAAGGAAATTCCTATAATGTTCAAAGAACATCGTGCGTTCCTAGGGAGGATAGGGACAGGAGGTAGGTATTGTTTTTTTTTTAATTTCTGGAGATTATATGTTGTTGGGAATACTTCATCAGGCAATGCATTCCAGAGCCTAGCCGTTCTATAGATGAAGGAGTTTTGATAAAGTACTGTTCGACATCTTTCGAGGTTGACTACGAAAGGATGTGCTGACTGGGCTTGTCTATAGTTCGTCTGATTGGTATTGCTAGTGAAGGGATGATAGCAGAGATTTCCGAAGAACATTTCCGTGGAAGTATCGATAGAAAAGTGAAAGGTCGCCGACCTTTCTACGGTGTTCCGATGATGTCCAAGAGTGTGTGAGTGTGGCGTCACCCACCAGGCGAATGGCTTTTCTCTGGATGGAATCTAAGAGCATCAGTGTATGTTTTTGTGCTGAACCCCATATGTGGGAACAGTATTCTAGAACAGGCCGTATCTGCGCTTTGTAGATCATAAGAAGCTGTTG